TTGTCATACCTCTTCTTAAAACTATGTATGGTTCCTGCATCCACTACTTCACTTGCTAGGCTATTCCACTTGCTGACGAATCTATGACTGAAGAAATACTTCCTAACGTCCCTCTGACTCGTCTGAGTCTTCAGCTTCCAGTTGTGACCCCTTGTCCCTGTGTCCCCTCTCTGGAACATCCTATCTCTGTCCACCTTGTCTATTCCCCGCAGTATCTTGTATGTCGTCATCTTGTCTCCCCTGACCCTTCTGTCCTCCAGTGTTGTCAGTCCGATTTCCCTTAACCTTTCCTCGTACGACATTCCCTTGAGCTCTGGGACTAGCCTTGTTGCAAACCTTTGTACTTTCTCTAACTTCTTGACGTGCTTGACCAGGTGTGGGTTCCAGACTGGTGCTGCATACTCCAGTATGGGCCTAACATACACAGTGTACAGTGTCTTGAACGATTCCTTATTAAGGTATCGGAACGCTATTCTCAGGTTTGCCAGGCGCCCGTATGCTGCAGCGGTTATTTGGTTGATGTGTGCCTCCGGTGATGTGCTCGGTGTTATGGTCACCCCAAGGTCTTTCTCCCTGAGTGAGGTCTGTAGTCTTTGTCCACCTAGCCTATACTCTGTCTGCGGTCTTCTTTGCCCCTCCCCAATCTTCATGACTTTGCATTTGGCTGGATTGAATTTGAGAAGCCAGTTACTGGACCACATGTCCAGCCTGTCCAGGTCTCTTTGCAGTCCTGCCTCATCCTCGTCCGTTTTAATTCTTCTCATCAACTTCACGTCATCTGTGAACAGGGACACTTCAGAGTCTATTCCTTCCATCATGTCATTCACATATATCAGAAATAGCACTTGTCCTAGAACTGACCCCTGTGGGACCCCGCTCGTAACAGGCGCCCACTGTCGATTCCTCTCAGTATTTTGTATGTCGTTATCATGTCCCCCCTATCTCTCCTGTGTGTGTGGTGTGAGAGAGAGAGAGAGAAGAGAGAGAGAGAGAGAGAATTGCAGGCTCTACACTATGTCTCCTCAGTGATTACCTTCATGGTAGATCTCTAAGTGTAGTTCTCAATGGAATGGAATCAGCAAGACATCCTATTGGGGCAAGTGTTCCACAAGGAAGCGTACTGGGACCATTGTTATGGAATGCCTACTTCAACGACCTTCTTCATCTCATCCCAGAATCACATGCATATGCAGACAACTGTACACTGACATTCACTTATCCAAGAGAAGAAATGCCAGCTGCTCTAAGCTACATCAATCACCAGCTGAGAGCTTTATCAGCTTGGGGAAATAGATGGCAAGTAACATTTGCACCTGAGAAAACACAAATGATGATCGTCTCTAGGCACCATGATGGTAATGCTGGTGCAGTAGTAAGGATGAATGGGAGGGTGTTGGCACCTGGAGAAGAAGTTGATATCCGTGGGGTGAAATTCGACTCCAAACTAACCATGAAGAACCATGTTGTAAATCTTGCAAACAAGGCAGCCAGGAAGCTTACAGCACTTCACCGTATCTCGCATCTGCTTGACCGTAGGGGTTGCAAGATTCTGTACAAGGCACAAGTACGCTCACACCATGAGTATGCTCCACTTTCTTGGTTTGCCTGCCCCCCCTCTCATCTGCGACTGCTTGACAGAATAGAGAACAGAGTAAGACGTCTCATCTCTCGCCTGGACCCATCTTGGATAGATCTGTCATTTCAGCAGAGCCTTCAACATAGGAGGGATGTAGGTGGCCTTACTGTTATGTACAAGGCCAATATTGTCAAAGTACCACACTTGGATCCATTTCGAGGACAACGTGAAACAAGCTTTTATGCCACAAGACGGGCAGAAACAGCAACTTCACTCTGGCTGTACCCTTCTCCAGAACATCACTCCATCTGAGATCATATATACCCAGGATGACTCCAGTATGGAACACATTCGTACAGCATAATGATGTCAATGAGATAAAGTCAGTTGATCAAATGAAAATGCTGGCCCACAGATGGCTCCAACTTCATCCTGTTCCCTACTTGTATGTCTCATAACAATAAAAATGAGAGAGAGAGAGAGAGAGAGAGAGAGAGAGAGAGAGGAGAGAGAAGAGGAGAGAGAGAGAGAGAGAGAGAGAGAGGAGAGAGAGGGAGGGAAGAGGAGGGAGAGGGAGGGAGAGGGAGGGAGAGAGGGGGGAGAGGGATGGGAGAGGGAGAGGGAGTGAGAGGGGGAGGGGAGGGAGAGAGGAGAGAGGGAGAGGGAGAGGAGGGAGAGGGAGAGGGAGAGGGAGAGAGAGGGAGAGAAGGAGAGTGAGAAGAGGGAGAGGGAGAGATGAGAGGAAGAGAGAGCGCATAGAGGGAGAGAGAGAGAGTAGGGAGAGCAGAGGGATGAGGAGAGAGAGGAGATGAGGAAGAAAGGGAGAGTGAAGAAGAAGGGAGAGAGAGAGAGAGAGGAGGAGAAGGGAGAGGAGGAAGGGGGGGGAGGAGAGGGAGGGGAGGGAGAGGGGGAGGGAGAGGGGGAGGAGGGATGGGAGGGAGGGAGGGAGGGAGGGAGGAGGAGGGAGGGAGGGAGAGGGAGGGAGGGATAGGGAGGGAGGGACGGGAGTGTGGGAGGGAGGAGGGAGGAGAGGGAGGGAGGAGAGGGAGGGAGGGAGGGAGGGAGGTAAGCGGAGGAGGAGGGAGGATGGGAGGGAAGGGAGGAGGGAGGGAGGAGTAGGTCGTGAGTAGGTTAGGTAGGTAGGTAGTAGTAGGTATTATAAGGTAAGGTAGGTAGAGTAGGTAGGTAGGATAGTAGGTATAGGTAGGTAGGTAGGTAGGGAGTAGTAGGTGTAGGGAGGTAGGGAGTAGGTAGGGAGGTATGTAGGGAGTAGTAGTATGGGAGTAGGTAGGGAGGTAGGTAGGTAAGGTAGGTTATTCATAATGACCATAGAGAGCTAGCTACTCAGTATCTTAGTGTTAGGTGATGAAAACAAATTGAGCAATAGATAGTCTAATCACTCAGTGAAGAACAATGAAATTCATTAATCTGTTTTTTTTCTATTTCAAAAGAATGTTTGCACACATGCATATCTTACTTTTTGACAGACATAGAAATCTGTACTAATCCTTCCATTAAGTGAAATATGAATTTAACTATACAATAATCACTTATTTTAAAAATTTATTCCTTTTTTCAATTAATATAGACCATCCCTTATTATATGTAATAGGGTAAATGAAAACAAATAATTTATATGATACATCAATATATTATAAAATATTATCACAGCAAAACATGGAACAAATGAGATGGGAGTGGCCATGAGGTTTGCAAGGAACTGGCTACAAGGAATATTTAACAAGATTATCTGCGACATAATGCAGGATATAAGGTCACACAGTCATACAAGTTCATACAAAATATTTATTAACTAAAGCCTTCAGGACAGTCAGATTTCTTTGACTATGTTATATAAGAATATACCTTCTACTGGTTTAACATCTCAAGTGGAGAGACTCATCACTTTCAACCATCACATATATATAATTACTACAAAATAAATATTAATGCCATTTTTATAATATTTCCTGACTGATGAGGATGTGCAAGCTAGGTAATGCATGGTACCAATGGTCACCATGTATAGAATATAAAAAACAAAAATGGGCTAAAATATTACTGATGAGTGCAACTAGACACAATACTGATAAGTATACTTAATAATAGATATAGAATATAACTTAAATGTATTAACGATTCTGTAATGTAAATACCTATGCTGAAACTCTATAGAATAAATTAACTTAGATAAGTAATACATGGTTTATGAAAAAAGAGAAGAGTTAATTATATTCATTAAATAATTTTTCATATTTTAACACTTCATTACTGGATAATGGAATGCCAGTCTATGGAGGTAAAAAAAAATCTCTAACAAACAAAAGACTGTATATTATAGGTGGCTAGAATATATCCGAGGTAGGATTTACTAAGTGGCTAGGTCAGGGCCGAGGTAGGGTTCACTATGTTCATGTACTCTGACAGAAGTGTGAGGAGTTGAGAGAAACATCTTCATGACTGGGGAGTAAAACGAGACTGACGAGGGCTCAAATACCTTATGAATACAATCAATATACAAATTAAAATGGTTGCAGGTGATTGGTAAATGAAACATAGCCTGAGAAAATTTATGCAATATTGTCTAAATAATTTGAACTAGATCTAAAAAGATTGATTACAGAGAATAGGGCTAGTGTTGCAGACTGGTAAGTGTAATCAGATGCAAAGACTGCTGCTGAAGGAAGAGGAGAGTGATTCTGAAGGGTACTAAAACTGATGTAGTAGACTGAATGTTGATAACAGGGATTTGTTAACACTGGTGTGGTAGACTGGTGAAGATTGATTACACTGGTTTCTAAGACTAGTGTGGTGGATTGAAGATTGATTACACTGGTTGCTAAGACTGGTGTGGTGGACTGGTGAAGACTGATTACACTGGTTGCTAAGATTGGTGTGGTGGACTGGTAAAGATTGATTACACTGGTTACTATGATTGGTGTGGTGGACTGGTGAAGACTGATTACACTGGTTGCTACGACTGGTGTAGTGTGTAGTACACTGAAGAGTGATAACAAGGACTGCCAAGATTGGTGTGACAGACTGGTGAAGCATAATTACAGGAGTTGGTAAGACTGGAGAATACTGATAACAGGGATTGCTCAGACTGGAGAAGACTGGTGACGACTGGTGACCATTGATAACAAGGGTTGCTAACACTGGTGTGATAAAATGGTGAAGACTGATTACAGTTTTGACTGGTTTGGTATACTGGTGAAGAGTGATCACAGGTTGCTAACTGGTATGGTAAACTGGAAATTTTTCGGTTGAGCTACAAGTCTTTACTGATATCTTTCACAGATGCTCAGAATAGGATTTGACAGTACATCTCATAATAGTTCGAGGATCATCTCCCTTGTGGCCCAGTCTCCGACAAGGCATCCTAAATATTACAGAATTAAGAGCTATTAAGAAATACACAAGGGAAATAAACTAAGTGAATTCTGAATGTAATTATAAGTTTTTATGAGTTGCCTGTCATCTAACATGTTTGTGAGACAGAAAGAAAAAATCAGCAATCCTACCAGAGTGCAAAACATTTAACAGGCTTCCATGTCACACTCACAAGAGAGGACAGTAGTACCTCCCTGGATGGTTACTGTCTACAAACCTAAGATAAGACATGACATCCCAGATTCCACACAATAATGATCCACCACTAATTATATAACTGAAAACAAATGACTTAAAAAACATTACTCACAACAAAGAAAGAATGCTTTATATTAATATACTGTAATCTTAAATTGTTATGCAAAGATTATATTATTCAGTATCATTTAAACATATATATTAGATAAAAATTACTAGTTAAAACTAAAGGGAAAGATATGACTTTATAAAATACCTAGATCACTAAGATATGGGGACAAGAGAGTGCTAAATCTCATCAGGTTTACAACCAATAATTTAGCCTTGAATGTTCAGTTATTAAAAATGTGTGAGAAATTCAGCACTCTGTCATTAAAATTCCTGCACTAAAAAGTTAAACACAATACTGTATTGTCCTAGTCAACATTTTAATAACAAGTCCAAAACTATGGATAATAAGAGGTTTAGCTAAAAATCTGTTCTCACCAATTTATGCTTATTGTCACAGAAATTTATCTAAAATAACTCACAGAACACATGATACTGCAGTGCAGTAGTTGCATTCAAAATGTATTTTCAAAATATTTCATAACCCACTCTGGACTAGCCATAAATGTTGTCTATATATGTATGATTTATGAGAATTCATGAAGACATTTATACATAATGACTGACATTTTTGTCTGTTTATGTACATCTTTGGCATAAAAGACTAAATTGATATTTTATTTTAGATCTAAGCAGAAACTAATAATTGCCTTTTTTGTTTATTGTTTTTTTTCATAGTTCAGACTTCTTTTACAGTTTTACAAAACATTCAGAGCTGTGCTTGAAACTGTATCCAAACACTAGTCCAAGCCCAGGCTAGTGTAGCATAACACTGTACTTTTAGCTTATACTGAAGCGACTAATATGTACAGAAGAGACAGTAAAGTAATGATCTTACAAAAGTACACAATTTGTTTGTCTGTGAATGAACAAGAGTTCCATAAAAGTATACATACTTATTATTTAATACATGATGATACAAGGTAGAGCAAAGTTTTCAATTATGACAGTAATTCATGTGCCACACAGCAGTAGCTGCATATATATGAGACCAGTAAAAATTATTTTGGATTACAAAATGTTTTACTGTGTCACTCCTTTTCTGTGTTGCTGTGGAAATTTGGCCATGAAATAATGAATTAATTAACTGATTTCAAACAATGACACTATAAGAATTGAAAGTCTGTTCTGAGAACTCAATGGAAACCAGAGATTTTTCTCCAAATAATGGATAACTAGAGCACAAGTTTATTTGTAAGCCAGAGTGTATTTTGATGGGCTGAAGAAATATTGACTGTTTCATGCTGTCAAAGTTAAATACCTATATATTACAAAGTAGATTCTTAGGGAAATTTTTTTTCTGAAATTCAGTACAGAATTATGACTTTACTGCACTCATATCTCATTCATTTTCTCAAAAAATCTCAAAATACTTTTTGCAATATGAAATAAATGACACATCCAATCATAAGAACAAACTGATAGCTGATTAATTCATTAAAAACTAGTGCTTATTCATTATTTTCAACTCGCGTGGATTAATGAGACATAAGCCACTTTTTTGACGTCACGTAATAATTTTAAATACATTATTATTCTAGCAACATAATTTTACATTTAATATATATCATAACTTCCTTGTTTTTAGTTGTTCAAGTCACTTTTTTATCATAATTTATGGAGGAAAAATGCTTGTTTAGAACTGCCATCTACTGATCCTCTGCTCATCTTCTGCATATTTAAAATTCGTTTAAAAAAATATACAGGTATACATATATGCTTGTATATTTGTTACAATATAAATGAGCAGATCTTTCCACAGTAAAATAACTTTTGAGTTCAATGCTGTAATTTTATTGGGTGATGCCTTGTGTTGCTTGAGAAAAAATAAAAGCCTCAATAACTTATTCTACATAAAAGCTTCAGTACGTATTTGCATAGATGTTCAGTTTTAAACCATATATAAATTTTTTAATGCTCTCAAATAATTTCAGTCATGCATCAAATCTTTAATGATACCCTACAGTTTTTACAATTTTACATTTCCTATTTAGTATACTGATAACTGCAATATTTCTAACAAAATGTCTAAATAAAACACTTATCTTTGCCTGTATATAGTTATAGCAGTTAACACTTCCTATGACTTGCATCATTTATTAACATGCTTCTGACCACACTAACTATCATAATAAAAAATTAAGTGTTTAAATTGTCTTAATATACAGTTCTCATGTGTACATTGAGCGAACATTTGAGGATGTTAAATTTACACTGGACGTCTTCAGCACCATTAAATGGTTTTATTATTGTTTTAAAAAGGTCTCTACTTTCTCTAAGCCAACACATAACCAGTAAAATTTTGAGTTTGATATAAAAATACTAGCAATGGCCTTTTTAAATGGACAAAATATAATTTTTTCTACTCCTATATTGCTTACCTCCCTGCCTTTCCCATTAGAAGAAAACCATAGTTAAGTTTTCAGCCATAAATATTTTACTGACCATTTGACGTAAGAGTCTTTTTTTTCCTATCTCAATTCATCACACTGCTACAGGCAAATGGCACCTGACAATTTGACAAAGACATCTTCAGATCCTCATGTCCTTAGTCTAGTTCTCATAACCAGTAACACAGGAGGAGGAGTTGCTGCTTTTAGTGGCCTTGCTGTAGTGTTTCTGGCAAGCCTGAAAGATATTAAAACTATCACCAGGCTACTCCCACAGTCTTATTAGTCTCTTAGACTAGAATTTCTGGAAAGCGTGAACATAGTTATTAGGTCATTTTACTTTGTCCTTGCTCTGATAGACTTTAAGAGTTGCTGAGATGAGTGTGGACCTAGACTCTCTATCTTGGTCATCTTCAGTGAAGACAGCCACTTCTGTGATGGCCACCCATGACTTCTGCTTTGTGCCAATAGCTATTCTGAGGCACTGAATGCCCTTAGGGAAGGTCACCCTCAAATCTTTTACATCTAGTTCTCCATTTTTGAAGTCCTGAACATTTGAGAAACTCTTGCAAAGGGCTCGTTTAGGGTTCTCCATCTTAATAAAGGACGGAGACACCTCTAAGCTCCCATAGAGCAGACGATCTCGAGTCTGTAATAAAGATTTTATTTTAAAATTTGACAAGTACAAATTTTAATTTTAACCCCCTTACTATTATTTTCTTATTCTAAAATAACTGAAATAAAAATCCAGATCTGGTTGTTCTCAACAACAGTGTTAATGATGAGCTAATCATTGATGGTGATGGTGATGGTGGTGGTTATTTGTTAATGATGAGCTAGTCATTGATGGTGATGATGGTGGTTAGTAATGGCCACCACAGCATGAACTTTCTCCCACCTCCCTCTGCTCCTCTACTCTTACTTTTATTACTGTAAATGCAAGTGAAATATACTATTTTATTTTTTCACTTAAATTTACTAAAAGGCATCGAATGGTTCATATTTACAGAAGCATTCCAGTAATGGATGGACACAACAACCCTTGCTATTAAATAACCTCAAGCCATTTTAACTTCTTCACTAAACTACTTTGCATTTTTTTTCCTTATCTGGTATTCTTTTCTCTTTTAATGTCTACTGTTATCCATTTATATTTTTGAATAATTTCTGTGTAATCATTCCTCATTTCATTTTAGAATAAACCTTTACATACTTATACTTTTTACTGCCTATTGTGAGCATTTCATATTAGCATTAGTGAAATATTAAGTCCAAACCTGATGCTATATTGATTTATTATTCGTCAAAATCCATATATCAATCGTTGTTAGTAGTCAATAGTTATTTTCCTGTTTTGATCGTATATATACGTCTTACGAGCCACCGTTTTTGATATATATATACTCATAAATTCTAGCGGCTTCAAATCAAGCAGGAGAAAGCTGGTAGGCTCACATGTGAGAGAATGGGTCTGTGTGGTCAGTGTGCACCATATAAAAAAAATCATGCAGCATGTAGTGCATAATGAGAAAAAAAAACTCCAGCCATTTTTTTAATTAAAATGCCAACTTTATGGTCTATTTTCGTATAGTATTTATGGTTGTATTCTCGCTTTCTTGGTCTCATTTGATTGAAGGGAAACATATTATAGAAATAGAGGTGATTTTGATTGGTTTTACTATGAAAAGAACCTTGAAATGGAGCTCAAAATAGGGGAAATGTTTGATTTTTGCCAATCTTCAAAAGTAAACAAATGATATCATTTTTCCAATAAATGTCCAAGTAGCCATTTTAATATGCAGCCATGAATGGGTTGACATTATTTATACAATTATTACAATATTGCAGTAGTCTGCATAACTGTAAATCTTCTATTTTTTGTATTTACCTGGAGTTTACCTGGAGAGAGTTCCGGGGGTCAACGCCCCTGCGGCCCGGTCTGTGACCAGGCCTCCTGGTGGATCAGAGCCTGATCAACCAGGCTGTTGCTGCTGGCTGCATGCAAACCAATGTACGAGCCACAGCCCGGCTGGTCAGGAACCGACTTTAGGTGCTTGTCCAGTGCCAGCTTGAGGACTGCCAGGGGTCTGTTGGTAATCCCCTTATGTATGCTGGGAGGCAGCTGAACAGTCTCAGGCCCCTGACACTTATTGTATGGTCTCTTAATGTGCTAGTGACACCCCTGCTTTTCATTGGGGGGATGTTGCATCGTCTGCCAAGTCTTTTGCTTTCGTAGTGAGTGATTTTCGTGTACAAGTTCGGTACTAGTCCCTCTAGGATTTTCCAGGTGTATATAATCATGTATCTCTCCCACCTGCATTCCAGGGAATACAGGTTTAGGAACCTCAAGCGCTCCCAGTAATTGAGGTGTTTTATCTCCGTTATGCGCGCCGTGAAGGTTCTCTGTACATTTTCTAGGTCAGCAATTTCACCTGCCTTGAAAGGTGCTGTTAGTGTGCAGCAATATTCCAGCCTAGATAGAACAAGTGACCTGAAGAGTGTCATCATGGGGTTGGCCTCCCTAGTTTTGAAGGTTCTCATTATCCATCCTGTCATTTTTCTAGCAGATGCGATTGATACAATGTTATGGTCCTTGAAGGTGAGATCCTCCGACATGATCACTCCCAGGTCTTTGACGTTGGTGTTTCGCTCTATTTTGTGGCCAGAATTTGTTTTGTACTCTGATGAAGATTTAATTTCCTCGTGTTTACCATATCTGAGTACAGGTGTCCCTCAACATTCGCGAGGGTTAGGGGATCAAGAGCCTCGCGAATGTTGAAAAACCGTGAATGTTTGGTGCCCCAATATATTGTAGGGAATTATTATTATTATAATCAAAAAGAAGTGCTAAGCCACAAGGGCTATACAGCATATTGTAGGGAAATATAATACAATACTGCTTAACTTGTTGAACCATGAACAATCATAAAATACATGAAAACGTCGTAAGTTGTACTAAATATATACATGTTATGCTTTAATAACATGTATGTTATTAAATACCACAGACTCCACCACTGCCTCCACCACTTCTTCAACCAATGCGAGTCCCTACTACCCTCCCTCCGACCCTCGCAACTGGCAGCCAGCCCTCCCAACACTCAGTGTGGTGAGTGTTTTGTTTGTTCATTATTTGCTATTAAACTACAGTATAAATAATGTAAACACATTCATGACTGCATATTGGAATGGCTATTTGAACAGGTATTGGACGGTGACATCATGTGTTTACTCTTGAACACAGCAAAGAATCAAACATTTCTGCTACTGCTAATAATAGCAATAGTAATAATAATAATAATAATAATAATAATAATAATAATAATAATAATAATAATAATAATAATAATAATACGATATAATTGAAGAAGGAAATTGTACAAAAATACGAGGGAGTGGTTGACACATCGTCAGTGTGACTTTGTTTATGCTGGAGTGAACATTAGTCTCCCTGCTCTTCCAAACATTTCACAATAATTCAGCGGTTGAGGCAGTGGTAGAGGCAGTGATAGACAGTGATAGAGGCAGTGATAGAGGCAGTGGGTGAGGCAGTGGTATTTACTAACACATACACATGTTATAAATAATAATAGTACATGTTAATATTAATAACATTTATAATAATAATAAATGTTATTCATAATGTACTATTATTATTTATAACATATATTTAGTAAATATCACTGCCTCTATCGCTGCCTCTACCACTGCCTCTATCACTGCCTACTCCATGCCTCTACACTGCCTCTATCACTGCCTCTACCACTGCCTCTATCACTGCCTCTATCACTGCCTCTACCACTGCCTCTATCACCTCTACCACTGCCTACTCAACCACTCCAGTCACACTCAATCTACAAGCACCAAACAATGAATTATTGTGAAATGTTTGGAAGAGCAGGGAGACTAATCTTCACTCCAGCATAAACTAAGTCACACTGACGATGTGTCAACCACTCCCTCGTATTTTTGTACAATTTCCTTCTTCAATTATATCGTATTATTATTATTATTATTATTATTATTATTATTATTATTATTATTATTATTATTATTATTATTATTACTATTGTTATTATTAGCAGTAGCAGAAATGTTTGATTCTTTGCTGTGTTCAAGAGTAAACACATGATGTCACCGTCCAATACCTGTCCAAATAGCCATTTCAATATGCAGTCATGAATGTGTTTACATTATTTATACTGTAGTTTAATAGCAAATAATGAACAAACAAAACACTCACCACACTGAGTGGTGGGAGGGCTGGCTGCCAGTTGCGAGGGTCGGAGGGAGGGTAGTAGGGACTCGCAGGTGGCGGGAAACTTGAATATGATTTGGCGGCTGGGAATTTGGTGGCTGGGAATTTGGCGGTTGGGAATTCGTGAATGTGTGAAGCCCACGAAAGCTGAAAACGTGAATGTTGAGGGAGACCTGTAATTGAAATTTCTCATCGTTGAACTTCATACTGTTTTCTGCAGCCCACTGAAAGATTTGGTTGATGTCCGCCTGGAGCCTTGCAGTATCTGCAATGGAAGACACTGTCATGCAGATTCGGGTGTCATCTGCAAAGGAAGACACGGTGCTGTGGCTGACATCCTTGTCTATGTCGGATGTGAGGATGAGGAACAAGATGGGAGCGAGTACTGTGCCTTGTGGAACAGCTTTTCACCATAGCTGCCTCGGATTTTACTCTGTTGACGACTACTCTCTGTGTTCTGTTAGTGAGGAAATTATAGATCCATCAACCGACTTTTCCTGTTATTCCTTTAGCACGCATTTTGTGCACTATTACGCCATGGTCACACTTGTCGAAGGCTTTTGCAAAGTCTGTATATATTACATCTGCATTCTTTTTGTCTTCTAGTGCATCTAGGACCTTGTCGTAGTGATCCAATAGTTGAGACAGACAGGAGCGACCTGTTCTAAACCCATGTTGCCCTGGGTTGTGTAACTGATGGGTTTCTAGATGGGTGGTGAACTTGCTTCTTAGGACCCTTTCAAAGATTTTTATGATATGGGATGTTAGTGCTATCGGTCTGTAGTTCTTTGCTGTTGCTTTACTGCCCCCTTTGTGGAGTGGGGCTATGTCTGTTGTTTTTAGTAACTGTGGGACGACCCCCGTGTCCATGCTCCCTCTCCATAGGATGGAAAAGGCTCGTGATAGGGGCTCCTTGCAGTTCTTGATGAACACGGAGTTCCATGAGTCTGGCCCTGGGGCAGAGTGCATGGGCATGTCATTTATCGCCTGTTCGAAGTCATTTGGCGTCAGGATAACATCGGATAGGCTTGTGTTAACCAAATTTTGTGGCTCTCTCATAAAAATTCAAAATAGAAAGCAAGAGTAATATCAGAGGGGCCTGTAGATGTGCATGATGGACAAAGAAAATGTTTTTTTAGGGCCAGGAATGTCTGCATTGTTCATTCTGGACCCTATTTTGAAATTATCATATATTTTTAATTTTCAATGAAATTGGACAAATTGCAAATTTCTGACCACGTTATTGGGGAGTTGAAATCGGTGAATGGACAGTTTCTTGTACTCAGTCGATAGAAAAAGTGGAGTTCTAAAGAAATAGCAATGAGTTTGGTCGATTGGAACACTGTAATTAGCAGAAAATAGGACTCATAGTGGGCGAAATTGCCTATTTGTAAACATCATGCGGTCGCTAACTTCGTGAGAGCATAATTCTGTCAGTTTTCCATCAAATTTCATTGTTTTGGTGTCAATACAATCGGGAAAGGATTCTCTATCACTTCATAAGAAAAATTTTTTTTTTTTTTGGGAAATTTTGTGACACCAGGAGACACCTCAGGATTTGGGGTTGCGACAGTCAAGGGGTTAATACATACATTCTCCATTAGCCATATGAATACAAACATTGATCTTGATATTAATCTCTTTGTAGATGAATGGTTCAGGGAACCGACATGTTGATAAATTAGACACATGTGCAACTCTTGGGTATCTTTATTGAGGAAATGTTTCGCCACACAGTGGCTTCATCAGTCCATACGTAGGAGAAACTTGAAGAACAGGAGGAGAATGAGGTAATCAGTCCCTCAACCTTGAGTCAATGTGTTCAATCCATCAATCTTGAATAGAATACGGTATATGAGCTGAAAAGCAGCTTATAAACCGTATGGCAGGAGAGGTGCAGCAGTCATAGGTGGTGTCACATTTGTTCAATGTGGAAGTAGGTCGTGCCCAAGAATTAGGCAAGCGAAGAATTCCTAAGTATTAAGATCCCAAGAAGTTGCAGTGTCTGACAAGTTTGTAGATGAATGGTTCAGAGAACCGACATGTTGATAAATTAGACACATGTGCAACTCTTGGGTATCTTTATTGAGGAAACATTTCGCCACACAGTGGCTTCATCAGTCCATACGTAGGAGAAACTTGAAGAATACGGTTTATAAGCTGCTTCTCAGCTCATATACCATATTCTATTCAAGATTGATGGACTGAACACATCGACTCAAGGTTGAGGGACTGATTACCTCATTCTCCTCCTGTTCTTCAAGTTTCTCCTACGTATGGACTGATGAAGCCACTGTGTGGCAAAACGTTTCCTCAATAAAGATACCCAAGAGTTGCACATGTGTCTAATTTATCAACATGTCGGTTCTCTGAACCATTCATCTACAAACTTGTCAGACACTGCAACTTCTTGGGATCTTAATACTTAGGAATTCTTCGCTTGCCTAATTCTTGGGCACGACCTACTTCCACATTGAACAAATGTGACACCACCTATGACTGCTGCACCTCTCCTGCCATACGGTTTATAAGCTGCTTCTCAGCTCATATACCGTATTCTATTCAAGATTGATGGACTGAACACATCGACTCAAGGTTGAGGGACTGATTACCTCATTCTCCTCCTGTTCTTCAAGTTTCTCCTACATATGGACTGATGAAGCCACTGTGTGGCGAAACGTTTCCTCAATAAAGATACCCAAGATTGCACATGTGTATAATTTATCAATATGTCGGTTCTCTGAACCATTCATCTACAAACTTGTCAGACACTGCAACTTCTTGGGATCTTAATACTTAGGAATTCTTCACTTGCCTAATTCTTGGGCACGACCTACTTCCACTTTGAACAAATGTGACACCACCTATGACTGCTGCACCTCTCCTGCCATACGGTTTATAAGCTGCTTCTCAGCTCATATACCGTATTCTATTCAAGATTGATGGACTGAACACATCAACTCAAGGTTGAGGGACTGATTACCTCATTCTCCTCCTGTTCTTCAAGTTTCTCCTACGTATGGACTGATGAAGCCACTGTGTGGCGAAACATTTCCTCAATAAAGATACCCAAGAGTTGCACATGTGTCTAATTTATCATATTAATCTCTTGTTGGATAGCATAAACAATCTTAATAATAATTGCCATTATTACATGGGTAGTCAAGCTAAGTGCCAACACTAGCATAACAATTACATATAATGTTAGATCATTGAGTAAACACTACGATGACCTCCTTGCACTACTCAATTCTCTAAATGTCAATATGTCTTTCATTATTCTTACTGAAACCTAGCTAAAACATGACGTTCCAGACATCTTTGCCTTACCTGGTTACACAGCCATACACAACTGTAGGCCTGATCAATTAGGAGGTGACACTACTACCTACTACTATCATGAACTTGAATGTATTAAATCTACTTGCACCAGGGATGAATATGGTGAATATACATTTGCAAAATTTAAATCCAAAAAACCATACCCCCGGCCGGGATTGAACCCGCGGTCATAGAGTCTTAAAACTCCAGCCCGTCGCGTTAGCCACTAGACCAGCTAGCCACAATAAGATTCATCCAACTAGGTATATTTCTACACCATAGGAAAGTTAGCACAGGCACCTCTGTGACCACAAATGCAAGTTTTTACAGACGAATCTCCAGCTAGCGTGGCCGTGACGAACTCTAGCTCAAGTCCCTTCACTGCCGTCAACATGACTCAAGAAATCGTAATGACACGATTGCAAATAAACCATACCCCCGGCCGGGATTGAACCCGCGGTCATAGAGTCTTAAAACTCCAGCCCGTCACGTTAGCCACTAGACCAGCTAGCCACAATAAGATTCATCCAACTAGGTATATTTCTACACCATAGGAAAGTTAGCACAGGCACCTCTGTGACCACAAATGCAAGTTTTTACAAACGAATCTCCAGCTAGCGTGGCCGTGACGAACTCTAGCTCAAGTCCCTTCACTGCCGTCAACATGACTCAAGAAATCGTAATGACACGATTGCAAATAAACCATACCCCCGGCCGGGATTGAACCCGCGGTCATAGAGTCTTAAAACTCCAGCCCGTCACGTTAGCCACTAGACCAGCTAGCCACAATAAGATTCATCCAACTAGGTATATTTCTACACCATAGGAAAGTTAGCACAGGCACCTCTGTGACCACAAATGCAAGTTTTTACAAACGAATCTCCAGCTAGCGTGGCCGTGACGAACTCTAGCTCAAGTCCCTTCACTGCCGTCAACATGACTCAAGAAATCGTAATGACACGATTGCAAATAAACCATACCCCCGGCCGGGATTGAACCCGCGGTCATAGAGTCTTAAAACTCCAGCCCGTCACGTTAGCCACTAGACCAGCTAGCCACAATAAGATTCATCCAACTAGGTATATTTCTACACCATAGGAAAGTTAGCACAGGCACCTCTGTGACCACAAATGCAAGTTTTTACAAACGAATCTCCAGCTAGCGTGGCCGTGACGAACTCTAGCTCAAGTCCCTTCACTGCCGTCAACATGACTCAAGAAATCGTAATGACACGATTGCAAATAAACCATACCCCCGGCCGGGATTGAACCCGCGGTCATAGAGTCTTAAAACTCCAGCCCGTCGCGTTAGCCACTAGACCAGCTAGCCACAATAAGATTCATCCAACTAGGTATATTTCTACACCATAGGAAAGTTAGCACAGGCACCTCTGTGACCACAAATGCAAGTTTTTACAGACGAATCTGTGCTAACTTTCCTATGGTGTAGAAATATACCTAGTTGGATGAATCTTATTGTGGCTAGCTGGTCTAGTGGCTAACGCGACGGGCTGGAGTTTTAAAACTCTATGACCGCGGGTTCAATCCCGGCCGGGGGTATGGTTTATTTGCAATCGTGTCATTACGATTTCTTGAGTCATGTTGACGGCAGTGAAGGGACTTGAGCTAGAGTTCGTCACGGCCACGCTAGCTGGAGATTCGTCTGTAAAAACTTGCATTTGTGGTCACAGAGGTGCCTGTGCTAACTTTCCTATGGTGTAGAAATATACCTAGTTGGATGAATCTTATTGTGGCTAGCTGGTCTAGTGGCTAACGCGACGGGCTGGAGTTTTAAGACTCTATGACCGCGGGTTCAATCCCGGCCGGGGGTATGGTTTATTTGCAATCGTGTCATTACGATTTCTTGAGTCAGTTAAATCCAAAAACCTAAAACACCTATAGCAGTTGGAGCAGTCTACAGAGTACATCACACAAACACTTACACATTTAGTGAAAACCTAAGAAACATGATAACTGACTCAGAGATGAATAAATAACACCTAATACTTACAGGTTACTTATCCTAGAACTTGACCCACAAGTAACTGAATTTACAAACACTATGAGCAACTGCTTGCTTCTACCATCTATAACTAAGCCAACAGGAGTCTCCGAGAAAAGTGTCTCATTACTTCACCATATCTGGACCAACACTATATCCCCATTAAAAGCAGGTATAATCACAGATAACACCACAAACCACTACCCCACCTTTCTCATAACCAGCTTATGTAAATTGCCTCGGGAGACAAGTAAGATCTCTTTCCGACTACATGACAAATCATCAGTAAATAATTTTATATCAGCATTAAGTAACATTGGCAATGAGAGCTAGCGGTCAGCCTCGATATTGACAAATGTGTAAAAATTTTTTTACAAAAAAACTCAAAACCTCTATAGCAGGCATTGCCCAATTAAAACAAAGCAGATCACAGCAAAGAGACTAAACAGCCCTTGGCTTACAAACAGCACCCTCAAATCCATTGATAAAAAACACCCACTACAATTATAGTATGCTCCTTGCTTAGCGACAAATTCATTTACTGATGTGGTCTTAGGAACGGAACTCCATTGTTTAGTGAGGAGAAACTGTATGTATGTTTCATTTACTGGTCATTTTAGTGCCTACACTCTAGAGGGGTCGGGATATGTGCAGTATGGAGGGCATCTGAACTGCAGTATCGGTGTGCCTCTGGCAAGACAGTGATAGTGTGAGTAATGGTAAAAGTTTTAATTCTTTTTCAGGTTGCCCTGCCTTAGTGAGAGACAGCTAATGTGTTAAAAAAAAATATTGGTCATTTTTCATTTGTTATAAGTTTAAATTTAACCTGGCTGAAATGTTCTGTATAATCAGAGGCTCTCTATATATGTGTACTACTAAATGTCAACCAATTTTGTAACAGCTATGTACATTGTGGAAATAAGTTTCTTAATGTAAGAGAGAGTGCGCTATGTGAATTACTATACGTACTATGGAATTATAAATTTTTAGTATGTCACATGTTCCTGCCAGCAACTAGTACATACCTTCTTATTGATAGCTGCTCCAGTCAGAATCACAACCCTAGATATTTTTAGGGGTTCTGGAAAGAGTATGTCAAAGGTGTCTCCTGGCTTAGGAATGCCCCAGAACATACCCGGGGCAGAGGAATAGGCATGCTCTGCCAGGTAGGCCTTGTACTGTCGGATAGTTGTCACCACATCAGCAGTTGGATTGACATGGGAGAAACGGCGCTTCACAAGACTGCAAGGTGAAAATTAATAAGATGTGATTGCTTATTTGTAGCTACAGAAGCAGAGTTAAGCTCATGGTGTTCTATCTTCAGTACAATATTACAATACACAGTGTATTATAAAAGGGATGGTAGGAAAACATAAATGGAAAAAAGGTAGGAAAACATTAGTGTTTTTATATTCTTTCCATTGTTCCTCATAAAATAGTATAGGACAATACAGTAATATCTCACTGATCCAGAAGCTGGTTATCCAAAATTTGGAACTTTTAATCCTTTACATTTATAGTAGTGTGTTAAAATCAACTTCATTTACTAGTTTTTATGTAGAATGTTATACAAAAAAAGACAAATAAGGTAATTTCCAGAGAAGCATACATGGCCTTAATTTTTTTTTAAATAAACCAACTCCTGCTCTATCTTCCATCAGTGTGATTGATTCATCTGCACCAACAAATGATTTGTCTCAACATATGTCTGTTGTCTTTCCAGTCCATTAGATTAGAAATTAATTTACAAGGCAGAGAATACACATAATTAAAAGAGATGAACTCTAGGAAGCTAACTCTTGTAAATTTAAAATGTCAACACATTACTGGATTTTTTTTTTTTTTTTATTTATTATTGTTTTTTTTTTTTTGGTTCTGAGCAATCCAAGATTCCAAATATCACACAGCTCCTGTACCCCAACAACTTTCTTTGGTTCTGAGAAATCCGAGATATTCCAAATATCACACAGCTCCTGTACCCCAACAACTTTCTTACCTTTAACTACTAATTTTCCTAATGAATGTCACTATTAAACAGATTAGAGCAATATTTAACAAACCCAGCTCTAAAGCAAAATTTACAGTGACAAGATTTTGTGTTTTTTTTGCAAATTCTAGATTTATGAGACCTTAAGGAATATAACCCTTGTGAATTTTATTCAGAAATTATGGAACCAAGACCAGGGATGGTACCAGAATTTATATACTGAGGCAGGTGGAGGAAACCTAGGGGTGGCTGTCTGGTTGGAAGGAGGGAGGCTAAGAGACTTGTTTTGAAGCAGCATTATTACAAATATTTTTATTTAGGGGGGGGTTGTGAGAATTTTGGGGGCTGAAGCCTTCCAAGCCTATTCAATAAAAGGAATTTTCATTGTATGAGAAATGGGATTCTCATAAGTTTTCCACAAATATCATAATTAGATATCTGAAAAGAAATTCCAATAATAGTGAGAAGACTTTCTCTTTTTCATATCTTTCTTCCTCCAAGGTTTTCATGCAGTAACTAGAGAATGCCCCTTGTATCAGTCTCTCAATACTGATACATATTTCCTGGAAAAAAGTGTCAGTTTACTGATTAGGAATCACTGAAGGGGAGACCTATAGCCTTTCCCCGTTGAAACTTCCTAAATTAAAAGTCTCATCAGTGTTGCAACTTTCAAACACACAAGCTTATCTTCAAAAGGTAATGACACCGAAAATACAAATTTTATAGTAGAACTTACATTTACTATTATGTAGGTGCAAAGCTGAAGGTCAGGCAGCACTTTACACAACTGCAATTTTGACCATAGTTCTTGGCTATTTTGTTAATATGCCTTCCATTCTATTGACTGAGTGTAAGAAACTTAGAACTACCCTATAAAACACTCAGAGAAAGATAATTTGGGAAATTTTACAGAGAATTCAATAAATTGCAATTTAATTAAAAACATAATCCAAAGTAAACACTAGTCATTTCAACCACTTATTTCTGCTGTTCATTCCTTACATACCCAGGCCTCTCCTACAATTGCCTTCCATTTTGAATTCATCACATCAAAAAACTGAAATTTTACCCTATTTCTCAGTTAACAGAATATGATAAAAGAATGGCTGGTCATGATTTAGGCAATCTTAATAATTTTACAGACCTAGTAAAAACCCATAGACAGACCATGGGTTTGGGGGGAGGGAGCCTACTCTTTCTCAAGAAAAAATCACCAAAAATCTAATATTTTCACCACTTTGAGGCCTATTTCAAGTCACAAGAAACAGTAATAAACCCATGAAAACCACCTGGAAAACACCTCAAAGTCACTATTTTAACCCAAATACAAGGTAACAGGTTAGGTATTCCCATTATGCACTGCATGAGGCAGAATTTTTTATACCGTGCATGCACACCACACACACCCATTCTCTCATATCTAGGCCAAAATTTACCACTCACAGTATATTTGAGGATGCTAAAATTAAGATATAAATATACATAAACACTACTGGCCTCAATAATATACATAATGTATATCTACATGGAAGACAGTGAAAGAACTAAGTGGTTGCCTGAATTATTTCTTTTTTTCCTTTTCTCTCTCTTTTTTTTTTGTCTCCCACTTTTTTTTTCACTCATAATATGAGGTCTCATCCAATTAGCCTCAAATTTTCAATGCAGGGTACAGTAATTAGGGCAAGACTCTTGCAAAAATTGGCATGTGCAAGTGCCTTATGACCAAAACTGTAGAACCATTTCTAAGATCCTGAAATAGCTCCAATAACTTCAAGAACCCTCTTCTTCTTGGCTTCAAACATTCACAAAGATGCTTCTAAATTTAAGGATGGTGGGAAGTGTAATCCAAATGTGTAGGTGCACATCTGCCAGTTTTGTGCTTAAAATAATGTGAAATTTAGATTCCCATTAAATCATACTAAATATGAGTCTTCCTCTTCTGAATGCCTTTAATATTTAATGGTTGATGCATCTTACAGACAGTATCATATCCAGTAAGTTTAGTTTGTGTATGGGGGAGATTTATCTATACTAAATTGGTTTACAAAACTTGGAATCTGCAGAATCCATGGAACAAATGGAGATTGCCTTTTATGATCAGATTTAAATTTTCAAGCCTGGTGTTTTTTTTTTTTTTTTAGAAAGCAAGGTTTGCATAGTTATTGCACTGCATATTTCCCAATTTGAAATCTCCACAGGCATTGAAAACTAACAGAAGAGTGAGTCAATCTTCCATAGGCTTATGCCCAGGCAAAGTGGCAGAATAGGGCAAAGGAGGTGGGCAGACAACCAGGCAGCCAGGAAAACAGGCAGAAAGCCAAGCAGGCAAGTAGCCAGGCAGGCAGGCAAGCAAGCAAGCAAGTAGCCAGACAAGCAGTCAAGCAACCAAGCAGGCAGTCAATTAGGAAGAGATTGCTAAAAAACTGTAGACTGGTACATTGTACACTTACCCTCTTGCTTCTGCTGCCTTCCTTCCTTCCTTCCACCCTCCCTCACTAACACCCCCCATCTCCAACACACCCTCCACCATCATTCCATTTAACCCTTTGAGGGTCCGTCCCATAGATCTACAGCTTTACGTTCAGGGTCCAAACCGTAGATCTACGTCATGAGCTCAGCTCACTCTGATGAACTGTGAGTGGTACATTTGGGCCTAGATATGAGAGAATACGTCTATGTGGTATGTGTGCACCACATAAAACAGATCCTGCAGCACGCTGTGTATAATGAGAGAAAAAAAACTGAAATCATGATTTTTCGATTAAAACAGCGACTTTGCAGTGTTTTTTTGTATGTTTTTTATAGTTCTATTTGTGATTTCTTGGTCTCATTTGATAGAATGGAAGACAAGTTACAGAAATAGAGATGATTTTGATTGGTTTTAGCACTGGAAATGGCTTGAAACTGAGCTCAAAGTAACAGAAATGTTAAATTTTTGCCAATATTCAAGAGTAAACAAACGACCTCAGCCGTCTAATACATGCCAGCTGGTGGGTCTAATATGCATTCACAAACATGGTGATGATATTTATACAATTATTACAGTATTGCATAACAGTAAATCTTCTATTTTTTGGTGTGAATAAAAATTCATTATGTGAATAAAAAATAAAAATGGAATTTATTTGTAAAGCCTCAAAACATAACTAATGAACAGAGGAAATGTTAGTTTAGTTCCAGGAATACCTACATTGTTTATTCTGGACCCTATTTTGAAATTGGAATATTTTGAACTTTGTGTTAAATTGGCCAAATTAACAATTTCCGATCACTTTAATTTGTAGTTGAAACAGTTGACTTGGCGATTTCTTGTGCTCAATCGATAGAATAGAAGTAATACTAGTGAAATAGCTAAGAATTTGGTTGACTGGAATAATGTAATTGGCCTAAAATGGGAGTCAAAATCGGCAAAATCGCCGATTCGTAAATATCGCTGACACATCAAAATTCGCGAGAGCATAATTTCATCAATTTTCCATCAAATTTTGTACTTTTTATTTTATTACCGTCACAAAAAGATTCTCTACCATTTCATAAGAAAAAATAACAAATTTTTTTTTTTTAAATTCTTGGACACTGGGGCACCAATTCAAATTTGGGCCTTGGACCCTGAAGGGGTTAAAACCTATTCATCATCCTGTCTTGTCTCTGGGTTGAGGGCCTATCCATGTGTGCTCCAACCATCATATGCATATTGTATCTCAAATTTTTCATTGCAGCTCAAAACTAAATTCATTTATGAGGGTAAATCATAATTCAAAATTATCAAACTAAAGCCCATTATGACTCAAGGGACGGCTGTATTTTGTAAATGCAGTGACTGGAAATAAAGAATCAATATCTCAATACGAATTTAAATTTAAATCTAACATTATGACATTGGAGGTCATGCTCTTACATACACAAGTCCTACATTACTGACAGACTCCAACATTTAACCATTATTGACATTACCTCATCAATTCAACTTACCAACATAGGGGTGCCTCAGGGCAGCATATCTGGCCCTCTACTATTCCTCACCTATCTTAGTGTTATCCTTATTGCATCTCAGATACTTAAACTGGTTTGCAAGTGACATGACTATTGTCATCTCCAATCAAGATCTGGGTTTCATCAACAACACCATTAATGGTTAGTAGGTAAGACACATATGCAACAGTTATGCAACTTTATTCCAAAACGTTTTGCCTACACAGTAGGCTTCTTCAGTCGTGTACAGAAAGTAGGCAGGAACAGTACATGACTGAAGAAG